TTTGGGGGGGATTTTGGGGGGGTTTTGGAGGGTTTTGAGGAATTTTTTGGGGGTTTTGGGGTGGTTCCGATGGGGATTTGGGGGGATTTTGGGGAGGTTTTACGGGATTTTGGGATTCCGGAGGATTTTGGGAATTTTTTGGGAATATTTTGGGGATGTCTGGGAGGGATTTTGGGGGAGATTTGAGATTCCACGACCCCCCCAGGGAAGCTCCTGTTCTCCATCAGCTTCCTCATCTTCCTCCTGATGCTGATCCTGCTGGGCAAGGGCTTCTCGGTCACCAGGTCAGAGGTCACTCAGGGGTCACTCAGGGGTCACTCAGGGGTCACTCAGGGGTCACTCAGGGGTCACTCAGAGGTCACTCAGGGGTCACTCAGGGGTCACTGGGGGTTACTCAGGGGTTACTTGGGGGTTATTCGGAGGTTACTCAGGGGTCACTCAGGGGTCAGAGGTCACTCAGGGGTTACTCAGGGGTTACTCAGAGGTTACTCAGAGGTCAGAGGTTACTCAGAGGTCACTCAGGGGTTACTCAAGGGTTACTCAGAGGTCAGGGGTTACTCAGGGGTTACTCAGGGGTTACTCAGGGGTTACTCCGCGCTCCCCCAGGGGCCGCATCAGCCCGGGGGGCTCGGTCCGTCTGTCCGTCTACATGACGCTCTACAGCATCGCCCACATCGCCCTGCTCACCTACGAGGCTCAGGTGGGGCCAAAATTCCCCAAATTCCCAAAATTCCCCGAATTCCCCGAATTCCCCAATCCCCAAAATCCCCAAAATCCAAAAATTCCCCCCAAAAATCCAAAAATTCCCCCCAAAAATCCAAAAATTCCCTCAAAAATCGAGGGTTTTTTACCTTCAAATTCTCTTTTTTTCCATTAAAAAAGGTCCCAAAATTCCCCAAAATTCCCCAAAATTCCCAAAATTCCCCGAATTCCCAGAATTCCCAAAATTCCCCGATCCCCAAAATCCCCAAAATCCAAAAATTCCCCCCAAAAATCAAAAAATTCCCTCAAAAATCCAAAAATTCCGTCAAAAATCGACGTTTTTTTACCTTCAAAATCCCATTATTTCCATTAAAAAAGGTCCCAAAATTCCCCAAAATTCCCAAATTTTCCCCCCAAAATTCCCAAATTTATCCCAAAATTCACCTGGATCCCCGGAGGGAATTTTGGGAATATTTTGGGAATATTTTTGGGAATTTTTTGGGAATTTTTGGGAAATTTTTTGGGAATTTTTGGGGATAATTTTGGGGATTTTTTTGGATATTTTTGGGAATATTTTTGGGTTATTTTGTGGGAATTTTTTGGGAATTTTTGGGGATAATTTTGGGAATATTTTGGGAATATTTTTGGGTTATTTTGTGGGAATTTTGGGAATTTTTGGGGAATTTTTTTGGATTTTTTGGGAATTTTTTGGGAATATTTTGGGGCAATTTTGGGAATATTTTGGGGCCATTTCTCTCCCTATTTCAGGAATATTTTGGGTCTATTTTGTCCATTTTTGGCACCGTTTCCCCCCTGATTTTGGGTCATTTTTGTCCATTTTTGGCACCGTTTCCCCGCTGATTTTGGGGATATTTTGGGTTATTTTTCAGGAATAGTTTGACCCATTTTTGCCCATTTTTGGCACCGTTTCCCC